AGTGGAGTCCTAGGATTATCGATTGAGAGAAACTCATGAATATTGGAGCATGGAAACAAGTAGAAAAACAATGTTATATTTGAGGCCAAATTTAGATATCTAATTTCAATGGACATTGTTGGTTAGCCATATGCATGATAATATTTTACCAGACTAGTGACTTTCTATGGTATAATCTTGACTAATTCATGTGGAGATACCCCAAATCTTCCCATGAATAGAAGGAGAAATTGAAAAGCCTTTGAGGATTTTTTCTTCTTCAAGTACACTCACACAGTGTACTTAATTTTGTCCAAGCTTCTGTCAGAATTGGCTTAAACTATAATTGTTAATAAATATTGTCCATATACTTTAAGTGATTTTTTTTAAGGATAAACAAAGACTATCAGATTTTTTTCTTCCCTTAGCCTTAGAGTTTTGTTTTCTTCTTCTGACAAGTGGGCATCAGCCTGATTCCATAAACCTTTTATAATTTTATGTTTCTTAATCGCTACAGAAACACTGAGATAAGATGGATCCAAGAGCCTAAATGGTGCTTGTCCAACAATGTCCTCAATTTCAGGATCTCACTTGCACAGCTGGTTTTTGTTGGTCACATGTCAGCCTCAGAGCACATCTGTTCATTCCTCAAGGATTCACTAGGCCCCATGAACACAATGTGCTCTGTGTAGAATACTTTATACCACAAAACTCAGCAGCTGCAGGGGTGAGAAAATCTCTACTTCTCAAGTTTGTGTCTCTAGGCAGTTTGAGCAGGGTGTTTTCTATCTGGCTTTCTTTGGGTTGCTTGTCATTTCTGACATACAGATGCTTGTTGGCAGCAAAGTTGCTTTTACTGTTCTCAGGGACAGATGTTTCTAGTCTGGGAAGAAATAGACCAAACTTTTACTGGAAAGTAGAAATTCTTGCCACATTAGGCACCCAACCTGAGAAAACATAAGGAAGAACCTGGCCATAGGCTCAAGAATGGAAAGGTATTCACTGCCAAGAAAATAATGTCCAGAACTGAAGACCTAGGTTCAGCATTTAGGAAAATTATTTGTGTCAACATCTCAATCTTTTGGGTCATAAAAAACAAACAACAGTATTTTCCCATTAGGTGTGTGGGAAAAGTATGGAGAACCCCAGTTCATCTGGGAAGGCAACATCTTTGTATCTGTGTGTTTTGAAAACTCTTCTTGGAGAGAGGACAGAGAAGGACAGGGAGAGAAAGAGGAGATTTATATACTTTTGAAACTGTGCATTGGAAAGGTTTATAAGTTGACAAGTCTGAATTGGTGTACCTTGAGACCGGCACAGAAATAAGTGAAGGTACATGAAAAGGAATGACATTAAGCATAAATGGGTTTCTATGACACACTTTGTTAATTTGATTCATAGAAAGTTATTGTTGTAGCTGAAGGATGATCTTGTGATGTTTGCTTTTATGGTCCTCAGAGGTCTCATTGGTAGTTTTGGAGGAAGAAATAGTCTTAGGTCAATATGTGTTAAATGAGATGTGAGGGACAAAAACAGCTTATAATATTGTAACTAGGATTTTCCCTCCACAGGAATGTGTCTATATTTATATAGCATAACCTGTTAAATCTGTACCAATGGCTGCAAATTCAGACCACAGAAGCTTCTTTAATAACATACACACACCAAGTCCAAAATGTTGTACTCTGTCATTCATGTGTAAATCAAGTATATTATTCATATACTTCATGGACTTCCTGAATGTGTGCTAAAAATGCCAAGGAAAAACTCGTTAATCGTGACATGGTGACTGCTCAGCTAGCAGTGAAATGTTGATGGAAAAGAAAAATTGTCAAAGGGCCTTTTTAAGAACCTCCGCAGGTTACACTCACAAATCGGAATTTAGAGAACATGAATTTCCTAGTTCAGGAAGGAAGGATTAAAAGAAAACACCCTCCAGTGGTTGCATCTAAAAATTGTATAGATTTCCCAAATGGCTGACTGTGAAAGAAATATTCTTGTGTGCCATCTTGTACCCAGAATCAAGTCCCTGCTCAGTCTGATGTTTGTATAATCTGAAAAAATTGATAATTATCTTCTATGGACGATCAAATCTCTGTCATCCTGATGACATCATCTTGGGGTTTTTATGTTGAATTATTTAAATAATAATGATGATGATTACCTAACTAGATGACTATATCTTATCTTATGCAGTACATCAAAATACTGAATAAAATCCTCTGTCTTTGAACTAGGCTTATGCTTAGCAGTCCTTGGCTACATGTGCTCTTAGAATAAAGGCTGAGTGCACTTGGTATATTAAGCAATTGTCATCTACTGGGTCTTAACTAAAGTGGAGCACCTGTGCTCTATGTGATCTTTATTTCCCTTTCTAATGGGCATAATGGATAAAGCACAGTCTTCCAGTTCAGAAGGTCATTAATGTTCAAATGTTCAGACATGAATACTGACATTTTTCAGTTTTAGTGGAAGCTGAGAGAAGGTTTATATTGTGTTGTTAGCAATTAAAGAATGCAAGAATGCAGAAGAGGCAGCAAAATACTGAGTAATATTGAAGATGATTTGACATATAATATTGACTCTGCTTTCATAATGCAGTAATGCCTTATACAGTTTACCACATTATCATGTCAAATGAATTGGTAGAATTTCTAAGTTTAATAAAGTTCATTACTCATATGATCATACAACTATCATGACAGCATGCACAACACCCATGCAAACTGACAAAAACCAGCACAGACCTGGGGAAATGAGCGGGAGGCCCCAAATTTGGCAAAGAACTACAGGCAGTTGATCACTGCTAGGTGAGGGAGAGTTGATCTTCTTAAGGGAGTGATTCTAGATAAACTGAACAGGCTCCGGTAGGTGAACTCACAGTGAAGGACATCTGGGTACGCAAAGGACTTGATAGCTCTTAACATACATGAATGACAGAGGCATGAAATCCTGCTATTGGGCTATGGGGTGGGGGGTGGTGCAGATAAGGGACAGGGTCTAAATATGGTTAAGATGTATAGTATAAAATGGGCAAAATTTCAATAAAAATAAACATTGAAAGAATGCCTTTCAAACACTGTCTTAAAAAAACATAAAGGCCTTGATTTTTCATTACTCTTTCTCTCGAGCCAACACTGTTGAAAGTACCTGTCAAGTACCAAACGACTTTAAATCTTATTAGACAATAGAATTGTTATGATAAATGAAGTGCAGTACACTGCTAATAGAATTTATATAATCTTCCTTATAAGATGTAAAGAAATGGAAAGCTATACAAAGTTACAAAATGAAACAAAATATCACAAGTCTACACATTTATAGTAAAAGGAATATGCATACAACATAAACATAGGAGAGGAGAGATTACTATGGATTTTTCACTGAAGAGTTGTGAAGGGATCTTGCATAATGGGGAATGTGCACATATGAATGAACTCTCCAGAATGGTGGAAGCATAAGGAAAGTAGAGACGAAATCAGTATCTGAGGAACAACTAGGCTTCATGCTGGGGTAGCAGATGTGAGAATGGAAAAAATGTGAGGGCCAGTGGCTTTTGGAGAAAGACACTGAAGCCCAGCAATGATTCTGAGGCAGAAGGATATTTCTTGGGCAATGCATTGATATAAACTGATGCTTCAAGTTATGAAAATGGGAGAAATTACAGAAAGAAAAGAAGCCTAGAGACTTCTTATATTTCAGGAAAGTAGACTTGGAAATAATTGAAATATATTGAATATACCGAAAGGTCCAAAGAAGACAATAAGTGCATGTATCGATATATACACAAACCATACATACACATGATTCCTAAAAATATAAATAATAAAAAAGCAGTCCATTCCTTTTTCTCACTCAGCAGCTTAATGATCATGGTGAAATGATGATGATCTGAATAAACATTACTGAGGAACAGCATAACCTAGCAGAATGAGATCTAGATGTACTCCCAGATCCTCTCTCTCTCTCCCTCCCTCCCTCACTCCCTCTTCTCTCTCTCTACACACACACACACACACACACACACACACACACACACACACACACGCCCCCGTGCATGCACATATATGCACACAAGCACATGCATGCACACAGGGTAACTGAAAGTTTGAAGTGAAATAATGTTTGTGAAGCTATTTTAGCTGTGAAAAAGAACTGAAGATAAAGTTCTTATTTTGTAATTATCACATTTGTTTTGAATTCTGTTTACCAGTTCAAACTTTCTCTATTAAGGATTTGAACAGAGACATATGCAAAAGAGTTATGGACCTTTTATTTTCCTTCAATGATATTTTCAAAGCTCTTTGAAGGCAAAGATCATATCTTAGTCGCTTGTTCTCCTTATACTTTACCACACACATGTTCTGAACAAAGTGCATGTTTTTAACAAAAACAAATACCATATTTTGACTTGAAACTTAATTTGCTCTGAAAGCTCAAACGTAGATGCAATATGTCTATTACTGAAAGTAGCAGTCACGTCTATAGCGTCTGGCACATCTTAAAACTTATTTAAATACTAAATACATATGGAAAATACTGTACCCAGTGGCATCGTAAACCTTTTAAAGTGGATTTTTTCATAAATCTGTGAATGAGTGACATGGCATAGTAAATAACAAGGGTTAAAGGCAAAGATTCAAAGTTTAGTGACATTTATTGTCGATAGAATTAGAAGCACAATGACAGAAGACCAGCTTTGCAAATGTAGCACATTGAAGTAGTTTTAGCTGCATTATACAACATTTTAAAATGAAATACTATAAATTTCTGAGGACACCAAAGCAATATAATAAATACCACCAAGGTATAATTTTAAAAATCACAATTAAAATAATTATGAGAATGCATTCAAAATAACTCCGATACTCTAAAGTCAGAATGTACACATTAAGCAGAATTTTGAAATAAAAATCTATTGAGATACAATTTTCTAAAAAGTTGGCTCTGATGCTTGATATGTCCATGTAAGTTGCTGAAAGAAACTGAAAGTTTTAAATACAAAATGTGAAATTACTTACTTCCACTTGGAATCAGATCCCTTTCTGGGATGAAGAGTTTATATCCATAGTGTTTTTCTAGAACATCTGGCAGTATTTCAAGAGCAAACTGTTCTTCTTCAGGGTTGTCACAATCTAAAGTATCTTGATCCACTTTTGTGTAAGATAGATAGGCATCATATTCCTTGTTGTCTTAAAGAACAGCAGCAACAACAATAAAATGTTATAAGTATTAGCAGGTTCTCTTCGGATATTATATGTCTATAACTACTAACAGGCTAAAGAAAACATTGAAATTAGTGACTGTCTTTAATAATTGGAAAAATAATTCATATGCTATATTCTAAATAATGTATTATATATTTCAACATAAATAGTTCATATTATATGAACTAAAACTGTTATGGACCACACTGGAACAGTTACAGTCAGGGCAGCTTAAAGCACAGAACTACTGTTAATTTTGGTGACTAAACACATTTGTGATATTCAATGATATTTGCAAATGATTAGCTCAGAATGTTTGAATGCAGGACTAAAGAGACCAATGTCATGGATTTGAGCACTTTATGTGCCAGTTGTCATGGCTCTGTCACTTAGTCACAGACTATACTTTATTTGCACAAATATGTGCAAGAGATCCAAAAGAGGCTGGGCCTTAAAGTGTGAAAGATTGAAATAATCCAGCTTTGGTCCTGAAGACCCTACTCACCGCATATGCCATACTTCCAGTTGGTGAATGTCACCATCTTCATATACAAAAAGGACTTCATTACCAAATATCAGAAATAGCAGCTGGGTTTTATACAAGTGCATTGCTTGTTATTCTTGGTCAGTCCATAGCCAACTAATTTGACACAAGTTCCAAAAGAAGCCTTTGTTTCAAAATATACATCCTTCCAATATGGTCAAATTAGGTCCTTTGTTCACACTCTTAGTCAGGGAGTTAAGTGTGCTTCTCAGTGTAATTTTTTTCCTCTCCTTTGCTGTACTGGCACAGAGCCAGTTTCTCTAGCATACAAATGTGCATGTTTGCTTGCATATTTTTATTCAAAATGCTGATGAATACAGCTCCCCATTGTATTAGTCCCCATAGGCTTTAGAGAGGCCATGTCATAAATGTTAGGGTATTTTCAAATTTCCTTATTTATAGAAAAATTATATTTAAAAATTAATTTAGTGACCAAAAGTTCATGTGAAACTTGTAATGCCTAATACTGGTTTCTTGAAAGTAATTTTGAAAGACTGGTAGACATATGTTTTTATAACGTTAATATTTCCATTAAAACAGATTTGATTACAATATACTTAAAACCTCACCAAAAGACATTTTGTAGAATCAACTATTCATTTACTTACCAATGCTATTAATTTTTTCTACCTGCTGAATCAGGTATAAACTATAACGATGAAGCAAGATATATATGCTATATTATAGGAGTAGATGTAAACTGCTATCTAGCCATATCTAAGATAGGATTTATGTTCAAATTCTTGCATAATCTGACCACTCACCACTCCCACACAGAAAGAACCCTGTTATGATACTGTCTGAGAGCAAGATGAAAACTTATATACATAGCACATCCTATGTATATGAAAGGCGCCTATACCCTTACTTAGGTTTCTTGATTGCCTAGAAGCAGATGCACACAAAATACTGTCCTGGATATGTGAGGAGATATTTTGGCTTAAAAATTGGGCACGTTCCACTGTTGTACATAAAACTATACTTGGAATGGAAAATGTTCATAAGCAATGCTAATGTAAGAACCTCCTGGAAATGCTAGCACCTCTGCCCTTGCTCCAATCAAGTGCAGGATGCACCTGCAGGCCCTTGACTTTCTCCAGCTATAATTACTCACCTGGGACTCAAAGCTGTCGATGATACACAGCTGGAAGAATAAAACAGGCCAAAGGACAAACAGCTCTATTCCTATGAGCAGAATTTGTTTCATGGTTCTTGGTGGATATTATTGCTGCCTCAAACTCCATGTCAGATCAGACCCTGGTTTCCCATCTTACAAACATATCTAAATTCTACTACCTATTAATTAACAATGATTTGTTAAACATATACTATGAGATTTTCCATATTCAGTGGTAGTTGCCTGACTCAATCCACCACCTTACCAGACATTTTAGACCCTTGGCCCATTGTGCACCCAGGCATAGAATATTTGCCCTCCAACTGTGCTGGAACTCACTTATTCTTGGTCCTATCTTCAGTTGCTTCACCTATGTCCTAATTTAACAGTGAAATACAAAAATTTTCTTGTAATAATTTATTTCTAAATTTTCATATCCTAAATCAGTTATGACAAAGAGTGCCCATGTCTTTGACATGTTAATATCTGACATACCTACCTGGATAATACATTTTCCTTATCTTTGTAAAAGCACATCACTTTTTGGAAAATGGTTGCTTTCGTTTCAGTCATGTCACTTAAAGATTAATGAAGAGCTCATGGTGCTTTGTCAGAACAGGAAAAGAACTCTCAAAGCCACCATGTCAGATGTCTCAGAAACTAGAATGCCAACTAGTAAGCAAGAAATGACGCAGATGTCACAGCTTTAAAAGGCACTTTTGCCTTATGTAGAAAGCCAAGAAATTTTCACAAATAGCTACAGCTGTTTCTCACAGAGAGCGACAAGATCCATAAAGCAAAAGCAAAATCATGATGGAAACAAGGTTAAAAGAAAATTTGACAATTGTCTTCAAACCTAGAGGCAGATCAGTGACAGCACTTTTCTACACAGCATTAATGAGGTTTCTGTGTTAAATCATGCTAACTAAACTTACTTAAGGAACCAGAAAATAGAGCACAACACAGACAAGCTGTTGGAAGGAGGATGATTGGCAGAGTGGTCACCATAACTATGCTGCTCCTAATGAAGAAAGATATTATGAAGATGACCAGACTATTCGTGGAGGAATTTTCTTGTTGTCACACCTGTCCTTCCATGTTTTAAGATCTAATTTTAATTCTGTTTATCATCAGGAAGCCATTCCTGCTTGGTAGCCCAGTATTTCTGCAGCTGTACTAAGCACAGTGCTAAACCCTTAGTTTCTAAAGAGAGCAAAACTTTGTAAACTTGTGATTATTTTACACCTGGTGCCTAACATATCTGTGTAGCATGTGTATATAGTGTTGATCCAAATGGAGACGATCAGTGAATTCTTCATCCATAATGCCTGCAATGTAGTAGATGCTTAGTAAATATTTAATTACTACAAAGCCAAATGATCAACTATATGAAGCAATCTTTGGTGTGCTGAAAATAAATAAAATTAAAATTGGCTAAGAAATCAAAATTTGTTGCATAATTTTTGTAAAACAAACTCCAGAACAACTTGCATGAAATGTAAGTATATATGAATATGTGTGTAGGAGCACACACATATGTATGTATGTATGTATCTATCTATCAATCATCTATCTAGCATCTATATATATCATCTATTTATCATCTATCTATCTATCACTATCATCTATCTATCTACCTACCTACCTATATGAATATCTATTACTTGTCTTGCAAGAGTGAGGAGCTGAGTTCAGATCACCAAAACCCACATATAAAGCCAAGCATAGAGGAGTGTATCTGCAGTCCCTACGATGGTGACTTGGGAGGTGGAAATACGTGGATCTCTGCAAGCTGGCCTAGCATATATTGTGAATTTTCAGGTCAAATGGAGGGCCCTGTCTCAAACATAATGTAGAAGCAGCCTGAGTATTTATCTATAGCATGTGCCCACACCCAAAAATGAACCTACACATAAACCCCCTACATATACAAATTCACTTGCATACACAAAATTATATATATACATGTGTATGTTTGTGTGTGTGAATAATGACATTGTATATGTATATGTGGTGTACGTAGGTATAGTCAAAGAAAAAATGAAGAAAATGTATATAGTAAAAATAAGTTATGTTTATGAATTGTCAAAATCATTAAATGAAGTAATGAAGAATTTGGCAGCTTATTTAGCTGATACATTACACTAGAAACAAGAAGCTGTACTTTTTAATATATTTTTTTTATTTTATGTGTATATGTGTATTTCCTGCATTTAGGTAAGTGCACCTGTGTCATGCAATGCCCAAGGAGGACAGAAGAGGCTGTCGGATTCCCTGGAACTGGAATTATGGATAGTTGTTAGCTGCCATGTGGGTACTGGGATTCGAACCTGGGTCTTCTGCAAAAACAACCAGTGTTCTTAACCGCTGAGCCACCTCGCCAGCCCCGTAGCTGTATGTTTTTAAAAGAATGTTAAAATTAGTTTATTCAGGTCATTGGGTAAGCATGATTTGTGTTCAAGCATGAGGGAGGACTTGAGTTCCAATCCCTAGAACTCATGTAAAAATCCATGCATGTGTCAGGTGCTTCTCAACTTAGTGTTGGGGTGATAGTGGACATCATAGGATCCTTAATGCTCACTGGCCAGCAAGGCTGGCTGAAATGGAGAATTTCCAATTCAGTCAGAGACCCCATATTAATGAAATAAAACATAGAGCAGATGATAACTTCCTCTGGCTTCTGCATGAGAAACCATGGATGCATGCTCTCACATATTCATTTACAGGCATTTCACACACACACACACACACACACACACACACACTCACTCACTCACAAACACAGCATCACCACCACCTTTATTGTCAACAGCCACACATTAAAAATAAAAAATTTCATTTATTCACTTTTATCACATACTTGTTGAGTTTTTAGTATTTAATTAGATTATTACAGGGGTTGTGTTCTCAAACATCAAAATTTCATCTGATATATAAAACATTTTAACTCTCCTCTCCAATGGAAACCCTTAAATTCCTTCCATTATATACTGGAACCACCAAATAGGTTTTGTACTTGTGCATACAACTGTCTAACTAAAACATTATCATGTACTTAATCTGATGTCACATACTACAACCAATCAGTTACTATGTTTAATTTGGTATAGGTAATGACAGCAAATAACTACTACAGAATAACCTAATAATTTGTACAATCTTTTACTGAGATTGACAAATTATAATTGTGACTCAAAACAAATGAATCACAGGAGCCTCCATTTCATGTTTTATATAGGCAGTATACCTTTCCTAGTGGTATGTTTCAGTTATTTTATATGCATAGGTAAGAAGTCAAATTTTTTAGTTGTTGTTTATAGGAGCACAAAATAATTGACCATATTTTCATACATATAATTATGACCAGGATGAGCCTTAATTTGTCACTCTATAGCATCTTCAAACACTCAGCTATAATTTGAGAGTAAATGCAGATTGAAAATGGAATGAATATGCACTCATCAGTGAATATTGATGTAATTGTCTAACAAAATATAAAAGTCAATTAAGACACACTCATTACTAGTACTTATGTAATAAGATTAGAATCTTATTTTTCAAATAAAAATTGATGTCTGATCTATCAGTATATAAAAAAGCAAAACAATTAAAACTTCTTGATGGTAAGGTGGTTATTCAAAAAGATAAGAAAAACATTACTTTCCATTATTACAGGAAAATAAACACTATAAAATTGATTTTAAGTTAACTATTTACAAAGTGCATTTTTAAAAAATTTCAGCTTGCCTATGGTAGTCAACATACATATTTCCAAAGTTTATGGTAATTGAGTGGTGAGGACATTATATATAATGATATGAACATATTTCTTATACATAATGATTAGAAAAGTTGCAATTTGTTCTCTTGAAAGAAAATTCTTGAATGTCCAAAGAACCAGGCTTAGTATAATGATTAGTTGATGTTTCATCTATAATATTTCCAAAAGTTTTCAGGTATACACATGCACTAACTAATGTTCAGATATCATATGTGTAGTTTTCAGGGAGCTTTTGCATTAATAAATTTCTCTCTGGCTTTTTATGCCACCTAAGTTCTATTTATCTGTCCCCCTCTTCCTGTCTAGTCTCCCTGCTCCTTCCTTAAATGGCAGTTTAAGTGCTGCCATTTTCCCCTTGATAATACCTGTGCCCTATTATCTCTTTCTCTTGAGTTCCTTCTTTCCCTTTACCCCCAAGTTTCCTTGAGTGTCCTTCCTTTCTCCTTTCCTAGTTGAATGTCCCCATTTTCCTCATTTCCCCCTTAGTAACATCTGTTCCCTACTATTCCCCTCTTTGTGGCTCTTACTTCTACAGAGGGACAGCTGGATAGAAATTCTTGACTGGATAAAACTTAACATATATGACAGAATACCTGAAATCTGGTGGGGAGGCTATGACAATGGTGATGGAGGAGTGAGTCGAAATTTGATTAATATGTATTATACGAAAGCAAAAAACTCAATAAAATATTAAAATGAAAATAAGTCTTTTAAAAAGATTTCCAAAAGTCATATAAAGCAAGTACAGTAAGTTTGTATGACACTGGATTTGATACTATTTTTGTTGCTGTGACATAATACTCAAGAAAATTAGCTTAGGGAAGGAAAGATTTATTTTGGCTTACAGTTTCATGGTGAGGAAGGCATGACACCATTCATGGCAGTGGGACAGCCTTATGAGGCAGGCTGCCCACGTATTGGGGGAGAAGAAAACAGAAACTCTAGGTGACAATGGAGACCAGGCCATAACTCACAAAGTTCACCCACCAGCAATGGACATCCTCCAAGTAGGCCACACCTCCTAAGGGTCTTACAATCTACAAAAAGCCAGAAGCTGAGAACAAGTGTTCACATACATGAGTCTGTGGGGGTTATTGCACATTCAATCCATAACAAACACATTCTAAATTTGTATCTTTTGAGTCATCTGTGAGAATGGTACTAAAAGCATCCAAAATATGTAGGTTCATGTGCTTTGTTGAGATGTTAATGGAGAACACCCATAAAATGTAAAAACATATTTTTATGTTTGTTTGCTCTCTTGATGAGAAAAATAGGTAAAAATGACCTAGAGTTAAGTTTTAATTTTCTAGACAAACTAATATGTGAATCAATTTTTGTGTTTTACTAAGAAAAAGGGCTTGGCAGCAATTGTTTTATCTTTAGATCAAGTAACAGCCTCTTAAAATTTTTCCTTGAAATTTCAAATATAGGAACATAATATGAATAAAATAATTTTTAAATCACATATCAGCTATTCAGATTTGCCTATTGTTTATAATTTTCTTTTCCTTTATTTATGGATGAACATTTTATTATAAATTATTTAAGATTAAATTGCACATATCAGAGGTCTTTACACTTAGGTTTTTCAGTTTCTGTTTTCTAAGAATAGAAATAATCTCATACATGACCATAAATAACTGCCTATTGGTTGCAGTTGGGAAACAGGAGATAGCTTACCATCAGTAGTTTCATCACTTCCAAAATGCTGTCGGTAGAAAAGCATCAATTCTATGTTGTAGCATTTGTAGACAATCACCAGCAGTATAAAGAGGAGTAAGATTGCTCCCAGGCCCCCTGCAAGCTCAATTCTGTAGATTAAATCTGAAGTAAACAGAATGAACAGGAAAAAGTAATTAAATCAGCAACACTTGGTATTTCCCCATATTTCCATATGTAAGATGTACTAGTCATTCTGATTTCCTTTTAATAATATTTTTGCTTAGTAATTGGCTCTTTATAAGTACACATGAATTTTGTTTTTATAAAATTATCTATTTTCTAAAGATTTAAGCAATTACTATTATGGGCAGTAAGTCCACCTTAGTCATTTAGTATCTTCCAATTAATTTTGAATACATCTTATTTTCATACACACACACACACACACACACACACACACACACACACACGTTTCTTTCACTATTTATCAGGAAGCTCTTTTCTTTGGATTCATGGATAAAGTTTTCTTGTTTCTGTTAAATTATCTAATTGGTTAAGAAGATTATCATCCTTTACTTCACAGGCCATAGGCTGTATTCCTCTACAGAAGACTCACGTCATAAAATTACTTTCAGAATCAAATAAAATCTAATGAGTTTGCAAGATTTAACTGTTCCACTTAACCTCAGTAGAAAATAATCTAATATATGTTAAGCAGGGGGAATTAGCTTACCCGTTTCTCCTACTTATTTGAATAAATTACTATAATATGTATGTGATATAATATACCCAGTGGAAGAAAAAGTGAATGAGAAATCTGGGTTAATCACTTAACATTTTCAGCCAACACCAGGCATACTTAAGATGTTCCAGTGGGGCATTCCTGGAACTCAGAGAGTAGGGATAATTGAATCAACACATAATGGAAGGAAGCAATAATGTCTAGTAGGCGTAGAGAACAGTGAATTAACTGTAGCTTAATTAGTGATATTAACAAATCTAAAGAATATATTGTCAAAAAAAGGAACAGTATCATGGAACATAGAAAAATGGAAAGTGAGAAAACAGTTCAGAATTTGGGTTTAGCATTTTTCTTGAGGAGTATTGGCCAAATCAGAGAGAAACCAGAACAGATGTATTTTCTTCTGAGGGACAAGAGCATCCAGTGGTCTCCTCATAATTAAATGAAATTGCCTACAATATTTGGAGGTCTCCACTTAATTTAGTTTCATAATTACCGAGCAACTCCTCTATTACCATTTCAGTTTACCATATAGCTACAAACTGGGAGGGGAAGTGCCATTAATTTGTATATTAGTTGCTTCAGACTGTGGTTGGCATCAGTCAGTCTCCCTGGGTGGATGGATTCTGGGATGCTGTCAAGACCAAATTCCTGACTATGACAGGCTGTGATTCTTCAGAAAAACAGAAAACTTTTCTCTGGGAATGTCCCTTTTCTGTATATATGATCATTGCTTAAGCAAACTAAGTCAAGGTCAACATAACAATATCAATTTAGCATGTTATAGTTTATAAAAAGGATGCACAAATTATAGAAGTAATATGTGATATTAGAGGTAACACAGATATTACATTACCAATGATATATGTCTATAGCAGTCAGTCTGTTATTTACTCTGTAATCTTGTAGCACAAGAATTTTTAACCAAATTTATACATGAAGATTTTGAGACTTCATAATTTAAATCACTTATCCATGGTCACCAACCTAAGAAGTGTCCCCTATGGGAAAATAACCCAGATCTCCTGACTTCAAATTTAAGGTTATTTTTACCCCACTACTGCTTTATGTATTCTAGCCTGGAAGTAACGACAGGAATCCTTATACTTGCTCTTCCACAGAACTCTTGGTGTTATTCCTTTACTCCATGTGACTTGTGGAAAATTTGATTCCTGTCCTTTCAGTTCCAAAGAAAGAAGATAAACTGCAATTGACTAGAAAGATTGTAATAACTTGGGAAGATCTTATATAACTCATTGAAGAGTACACTACAGAACATTATAGGTAGGGAAGGAGGGGGCACCATGGAGTCCCACATATGAATTAAGTTGTATTAAGTTGTATGATAAATAGGGACTTGAATCTTATCAAGGAAGTGGACTAAGAAAGGAGATTATGGTGACTGGGCACAACAGACCTGCTGATTTTTAAAAAACCTACAATGTAGAAATAGTAGACACCCTTGGGGCTGGAAAGATGGTTCAGCAATTAAGAACACTGACTGTTCTTGCAGAAGACCTGGGTTCGAATCCCAGGACCCACATGGCAGCTAACAACTGTCTGTAATTACAGTTCCAGGGGATCGAACGGCCTCTTCTGTCCTCTGCAGGCATTGCAAATGGGTGCATTTACCTCCATGCATACATAACACTCATATGCGTAAAATAAAAATAATAAATAAAATGTTAAAAAAGAAATAGTAAACACCAAAATAATGTCAGTGTTAAAGTAGAAAGAGGAAAAGCGGAAGAAAGAAGAGGATAGGAATGGGATGCCCTGAAGTACCAACTGTCTGAAATGGATACTGCGAGGGGACTGAATAGAGAGGAAGTTTTGAAATGAAGCTACATAATTTTACGTAAAAATAAAAATCCTACCCTATATCATGCATATCTTCTATCTTATAAAGTAGTTCCCTAAAAAACACTGCCTTCCTCTATATGGGGTATAAATCAAACTTGCTTATCAAACATCTGTTGGGAAGCAAATTACAATCTGCACTTGTTTTCTCATCACTTTGTATCATTGTAAACGGTCAGTACGATGGAAACAATACAGGTTTGTTATTCCAAAAATCAATTTCTCTTTCATCTTAGGGCAGTGATTCAAACTTCTACTATTTTTATCCTGATAACATATTTATACTATAAATGTTTTATTTCTGTTGTAGTTTGCTTTCACTTACTATGACAAAACACTATGACCAATACCAGCTTGGGGAGGAAAAGGTTTATTGGGCTTAGATCTTCTGGGCCACAGTTGATCAGGGAGCCCAAGATAGAAACTCAGGGCAGGAACCTGGAAGCAGGAGCTGGAACACAGGCCATGGAGGAACGCTGCTTACTGGCTTGCTCCTCTGACCTATGCTCAGCCTGCTTTCTTATATAATATAGAACCTGCCCAGAGTTGTCACCAGCACAGTGGCCTGGGTCTTCACATTCACTCAACAATCAAGAAAATGCCACACAGATATGGCCACAGGCCAGTTCAATGGAGGCAATTCCCTAACTGAGGCTCGCTCAACCCAGATGTGTCAAGACGACAACTAAAGCTATCCAGCACAGGTAGTTTTCTTTTTTCTTTGTTTTATCCCTATCTATCCTTTCCTCTCTCCCTTCTTTTCTTTCTCCCCCATCCTCCTTTATCTTCCTCCGACTCTATCCCTCCACCTCTATCTTTCTCCTTGGCTGCCATCTTCTCTGTGTCAGAACAGTGTTCAAAGTCATTGAATGAAAATTTTCCCATTAACTTCGATGTTGTACAGTTGCCATTAGGTAGATGGAAAACTTCAACGGCAGAAACAATTTGTGTGCTCCCACATAGCAGGCACCAAATTTATGGAATAAAATCGTTGTGTTAAAAGTACCTTCATGATTTAGGGGTCATTTTTATAAAAATGATTTGAAAGATATTACATAATGGTGGTTAAGTTGAAACCTGTGGACTTAAGCTTTGAGACCCAACCAATATTCTTTGATTAAACTGAGACAGTCACATCAAAAGGGAAATATCTGTCCTATAATCAGAGGGCAAAATTGCCATCAGCCAAATGACACCTGTCTTTTCTTTCATCTTCTGTTTGCAATTGCCATTTTCCATCTTAGCAGGATCTATACTTCTATGAACACTTCCTGACTGAGAAACTGAAATTCATTTATTTTGTTCCATGTCTTATATCACTTCATAGAGATAAACGGAACCAAGGAGCAAATATTTGTGGGCTTGTAAATTTTTCTAGGTACCCAAAGTACATATATAGTTCTTCTACTCTTAGTTTGAATTCAGCTGTTTCTGTAGTGTGAACAGAAAGATCAGCTATTATGGTATAGGAAAAATAGCAACTGAAATCAAGAGACTAGAGAAGACGCAGGCTATAAACGAGCTTCCTTCTTTGCCTTACAAGGTAGATAGGTTAGAAGGCCCTACCTGAGGACTTCTGCTGTGATCTGAATGTTGATAACTTCTCCAAATCGATCTGCTTGCTTATCCCAAGATGTTGCTTAGTGATAGCATATTTTTTAGTGTGGATGATTTCCTGAGTGTGATGCCCAGCAGGGAAAATACCTTCTATGCCAACCAGTCTCCAAGTCATGGTAATAGGATGAACTTCCTTTGAGAAGCTAGCTTGTGAGGGCTCCACACTCATGAATGAGGTTAAAGACCTCTAAAAGTATGCCTGAGAAAGTCTACTTACATCTTTTGCTATTTGAACACAAAGAATGCACCATCTATGAGAAATAGGCCATTATTACATACAGAATATGCTGACACATTAATACTGGACATAGAAATCTCTAGAACTATAAGCAAAATTTGTGTTTATTTAATACTGCTCATTTTACGATATTTTTTGTTATAGCATCTAAAAGGATTAATACATAAATTGGTGAAGACAAGTAAGGTGCTGCTGTAACAAATACAGACAAATGTGGAATTGGCTTTGAACCTGGCTAATAAGTAGAACCTAAAGGAGATTTGATATACAGTGTCAATGAGACTCATGGGAGATTCCGGTGTGGGCTCCTGAGAAAATTAGGTCTGTGGAAAAATCCTCTTTAGTAGTTACTTCTCTGCTGGTGTGATGAAATATCACGATCCAGGCAACTTATAGGAGAAAGAGTGTATTGGGCTTTTGGTTCCAGAGGGATAGGAGTCCATCTTGGCAGGGGAGGCACGGCAGGATCCAGCCAGGAGAGAAAAGTGAACATTCACATCTTCAAGTAGGCACAGGAAGCAGAGAAAGAAAAAATTAGAAATGGAGCGTGGCTGTGGACTCTCAAAGCTCATCCCCATTGACATCTTCCTCTAAGAAGGCCATACCTCCTGAACCTGAATAAACAGTGCCTCCTCTATGGGATTTGGCCTCTTTTAAACTACCACAGCCTCAATATATTTAGAAATTATCTAACTGGTGTTGAGGAGAACATTGGTAGAAATACGACTAGTGAAAGAAGCCACTTGATGGGGTCATAAACAGAAATGTTTACTGAGTCCTTACCAGATGAAAACATGACACTGATTTTGGATTTCCTAGCATCCAGAACTATGAAAAATAGATTTCTATTTCTATAAATTGTCCAGTTCAGTGTACTTTGTCGATATAACCTAAATATACTAAGTCAGTTTCCTATATATTTTTGGGATCAAGGTAGATAGATAGATAGATAGATAGATAGATAGATAGATAGATAGATATTTAGTATCATAGCTCTCTTTTGTGGGAAAGGGAGTATACACAGAGAGGCAGAAATAATTACTAAAATTTCTTTAGTCTAAGTTCAGAATATTGGCTTAACAAGGAAAAAATTCAGATGGACCTTTTACTAACACATCATTATTCATATTACTGGCTAATAGTTCATCAGAGGAAAGGAAATGGTAGGTGCGTGCAGGACATATACAGTTAGAGTGTATTATTTTTGGAAATTCTTCCCATGATCACTGGACATATTGCATGTGAGTTCTTATTAAGACCGTTTTTCAGTTTATGATCCAAAATGATCAGTTATGTGATTTTAAATATTTGGCTTACATCTCATCATGAAGCTATTGTTTGCCAGTCATGGCTGTGGACTCCTTTAATCCCAGCACTCTGGAAGCAGGAGCAGGTAGATCTCTATGAGTTTGAGGCCACCCTGGTCCAAGTAGCAAGATCCAGGCAAGTTGAGGCTACATAGTGAGATCTTATCTCAAAAAACTAAAATAAAAAGATATTCCATAAAGCAAGCTATATTTATAGTCTAGATCAGATTGCCACAGCCAGTAAGGTCTGGCTGTGTTGTGATGAAGCCTAATAGGTTCAAATTCAAAGGAAATATATCAAGTTTCTTAGAACAAGATAAAGCTTGGTCTGATTTTTTAAATTACAACAGATTTCAAGGATCTTTACCCTTCATTTGGGTTTCTAACATATTTTTGAAAGCTCAAAGAGACCAAATGAGGAAAACTTAACTGTATTCTTTGGCAAAGCATAGTGAAAAGCTGTAACTGGTACCTAGAGGAGAGAGCAAACTGATATATCATGTGCCAAATGTGGTTTTATTGAATTGCAAAAAGTTTTCAGAAAAATGAATACTAATGCTAAAAAAAACATATTCACCCTCTCAATTTCACTTGAAAACTTTGAAATTTTCCTATACCTGAAGCATGTTAAAAATATTCTGAGGAGTAGTAGGTTCCCTCTTAATTGAAATATATTTTCTTTAGTCTGTTTTAATTTTTTTCAAATGCTCAGTCTTCTTTGCTTTAAATTCAATATTTACTTGACCTTTGAGGCCTTTGACTTTTCACCATAAAGCCTCAAAGTAAAAATATTTGAAATGAAAAACATCCATAAGTAACTCTGGTCAGACATGTAAGACATGATCACAGATGAAATCATTTACCGATCTCTTTTATGCTTCCTCCCACTTCCATTGTGCTGATAATGTATGAGGAGAGTTTTTATCCAACAAATATTTTCAGTGTTTATTATATTTTACATATGATGAATCTAGAAGTATCTAGAGCAAGAAAAATCCCTAATCTTAGAGTATACTTTCTAGCAGCAGGAAGAAGGTAAAAACCAAATATAAAATGTAATACGTAGTATTAATAGGTACAATAAAAAGAAAACTTAGAATGGAAAGACAATAAAATGTAATAAAGGTTGTCTCTTTTGCTGTACAGAAGCTTTTTAGTTTAATGAGGTCCCACTTGCTGATCTTAATCCCTGAGCCACTGATGTTCAATGTAGAAAGTCCTTTCCTACACCTATATTTCATAGGCTATTGCCAATGTTTTCTTCTAACAGTTTCAGAGTTTGAGGTTTTGCATGGAGGTCTTTGATCCATTTGGAGTTTACATTTATGCAAGGTGAAAGGTAAGGGTCTAGTTTCATTTTTTGATAGGTGGAGATGCAGTTTTGCCAGAACCATTTGTTGAGGATGCTGTCTTTCCTCCAGTGTGTGTTCTTGGCAACTTTGTCAAATATAAAATGGCTGAAATTGTGTTGAAATGGGCAGCAGAGCCCAATCTTAGTCAAAGAATTATTGGCAGCTGATTACTGCTGGGTGACGAAGAGCTGATCTTCTTAAAGGGAGGGACTATAGATTGGCTGACTAGACCTCAGTGGACGAACTTAAACTGAGGGAGGTCTGGGGACACTAAATTGACATGACAGGCCTTAACACAAATGACAGAATGCATGAATTTCAGTGTGTGTGTGTGGACTATGGGAGGGTGCCAGTGGGGAAGGAGGTATAAAGATGATTAAGGTGTTCTATACAAAATACACAAAAATTCAATGAAAAATTAACAAAAAAAAGAAATGTAATGAAGGAACCTGAGAGAGAAGCACAGGAGACATGTGTTACTAATTGGGAAATGAGTAAAATGGGACTATTTACATGGGAGAGGAAGAGGGAGGATTATACAAGGAACTATGGTGGTAAAGGGGAAGAAGGAGTTCAAGAGAGGTGGGAGCACAGCAGACAGGAATTATCAAGGGAGAAATGGGGAAAATTGGGATACTTTAAAAGGGGAGGGCATGGAGAGATGGTTAGATGGGGAGAGAGAGGAGAGATAGATAATATCTAGCTAGTATAAAAAAACCAAAAGGAATCATATTAGTCCAAAAACCTACTTAAAAATTACACATACAATATCTCTACATGAGTCCATGTGTATAGCTGAAGGCTACATAACAAGAAATGCTGACAGACAGGAGAAACTTCCGTTTGACTTGTTGGCCAGGGTGGTCCAAGAGACCTGGAAGTCACCTCCCTGAAGATATTGGAGAACACTAAGCAAGTTGTTCAGGGAGAAAGGTTAGAATTAATATTGTCAGTTATTCATGATTTTAGAAGAGTTTCTTTGTAGAAGAGATGGAAGGTAGCAGAGTTTTCTGGGTGTCTTATTTTCCAGTTTCAGATTTCTAGAATTTGAAGGACTTCCAGTTGTTGCTATACTTTTTAAGCAGAATGGATTTATTTTGAAACTAAAATTATTTCTGTGCAGACTGGCTGAATTATAAGACCATCTGAGTTTTCTCTATAGACATTTTCAAATGCATATATATTTTAAATTTTCTTTGATGTTTATCTTTCTCTGCATTTTTCTACTCCAGATATTCAGGATTTTCTATTTTATTTATCTGTTTCTCAATACCTAGTAAAAGTTTGCTACACATGAATCCTCAGTAATAAAAGAATTTTAATAATTTATTCAACCAGAATATATTCCAAGTGTCTATTCGTAGCAAAACCTTGCATAACTTGCTGGAAGATACAAAAGTTCAGCAGCAGAATCTGGCTTAGAGAATCTCTGCACCAGAAATCAGACCAAAATGGACCGGAACAAAGTAAGCTTTGCCACAAGGCATGTGAACCTGCTCAATACCCAAGTTAACTAACAAAGGCATGTAGAAGAAAAATTATACAAATTCAGTTTAGTAAGAAAGTGGAATATATTTTATACCTATCATATGTTTATTTAAGCAGGAAACTATACAATGTATGTATTATTACCCTCATTTTACATATGAGGAGACTACAATTCTGAGATTATTCAAGAAAATCAGTTTTGCTTTGTCAGGTGGCTGAACCAGAACTCCTAAACCTGGCTGTACTGACCTCTCTTTCTATACTAGACTCCTTTATATATAAATACGCCTTCATTTTAAGACAGAGTCAAATTCAATCATGTGAGAAATGGTGCTGCAGAGATAGAGGCATTATTCTCAGAATAATCACACTTTCTTGATTTTTCTGGAGCTTCTAGTCATGCTCAAGTTTTAGGTCTGGCAAGAAAATATAAATTCCATCTTGGCCAGTATGAGTAAGCAGTGATTTTGCTACCTGAATCTCTTCTATTGTTCTATAGCCTAGGCAACAGGAACACTGATTAAGAACATTTGCTCTGTTACGTTTCCAAAAACCTTTCCCAGATGAACACATGAACTATTTAGCCTTTTTACCGTATTCAGGACTTATGGCAAGATAAGAGCCAATTCAGAAGCTTCTTTGGCAGCTTATATTGTCACTTGAATAGCTAGCTTTATCCATCTTGTCTATAAATCTAGTTTCTTTTGTTTCCCCATCATTTACAATTCTACGAAATCTAGAAAAATCTCTTTAGAGAGATTTTTCAAGAAATGCCAAAAAACTTAAAAGAATATGCACTGACTAATGGTCCTTTAGCACCAAATCATTATCACAATAAATATAGTATTTATGATAATTTTTATTACACGACACAGTTAAATATTTAACTAATGTTTTATTTAGGAATGGAAAGTAGCTTTGTCTTTCATTTGATAATATAATATCCATAATTTCATCTAAACAATATAAAATATAAGAAGGTGAAATTCTAAGGAATTATTGAATGCTGATATAAATCAGATTACATGTATCACTTATAATTATAGACAAGGCATATTTTATGTGAATTGTCTTAATGCATAACCATATTTTATTTCATTTGTTTATTTCATAATACTATTTAAGGTTGATAGGCTTTTTTTTTTTTGTTTCCCAATATGCACAGCAAGAAAGGTATTGTTCCTTAAAAAGATAGAAATGGTCAAAAGTGGTTTGTATTAGATGGCAAAATATGGACAGAAAACATATTTAAATTGGATAACTATTGGTGTTTAACCAAAACGTAGTTATATTTATTAGAAACAATACCCTTTTTACGAAGCAGAACACTGGCATGTTTCCGTCCGTTTCTGTTTTCCACATGGCAGGTATAATTAGCCAAGTCAGCCTCCACCACTGAGTCAAAGATGAGTGTTAATTCAACTTCTTTTTCTCCAAGATGCTCTTTTAGAAGCCTGGAATAAAGATGGTAGACTTGAATGAGTGGTTTGAATTAGGCAGAAAGCAGTCATACAAAAGCTACAAGATGGTTAAATAGCATGCCTTCTTTGGGAACCCAGTGGGTACAGAGAGCTCTGGCTGTGTGTATGTGAATGGGGAGCTCTAACAAGAAAACACAAAAAATGGCACTTGACTTGAAGAACAAATGAGAAAGTAAAGGGGAAAAATTCATTCAGCAAAAAGAATTATCAACATATCACTGTTTGTAATGGGAGCATATATGATTTCTGTCCCCCAAATAGAACTTATGAAAATTAATTAATTTTTTTAGCATTTTTACATAAGCAAAGGATTTATGTTAGAAGTTAGTTTTTTAAAATTTTATATATATATTTTTTATTTTTTTTAGAAGAAGCATTTCATTACAGCTTTCACATACTCAATAACAGTTTCCAGAGCAAAGATACATCTCATTCAAAAGTGGCTATAAAATTTTAGGTTCACCATTGAACCTAATAACCGCATACTTAGAAGAAGCATTTCATTAGAACAACATTGACATATTCAATAACAATTTCCAGAGCTAAGATGCGTATCTTTCAAAAGTGGCTGTAAAATTTTAGGTTTACCGTTGAGTTAATACAGTTATACAATACTATACTCAGTATAAACCTTATAAGACATAAAATTAAATGAGGTTTTAACCTTTAAAAAAGACCTTTATTTCATTTTTAAAATACACAGTTTCATACAGAAAGCTTCATTTTTAATTCAATTAACACTAAGGTGTTTGTGCATGCATTTCTAATCTCTATATATCTGATTAATACTAGTCACAGTTGGTTACTTTCTGAGCTCTTTGGCATCTAAGCATGGATATAAAGTTTTCAGGTAATTTTTTACCGCTACTAATTAACATGAAGCAAATTTTTATGCTTCTTCCTCAAATATAACTCATTTTTTTATTCGTTGATTATTTTTATTTTTTGAAGAAGCATTTCATTACAGCTTTAACATACTGGGTAACAATTTCCAGAGCAAAGATACATCTCTTTCAAAAGTGGCTATAAAATTTTTAGGTTCACAGTTGAATTCATACAGTTATACAATATTGAACACAGTATAAACCCTGTAATATATAAAATTGAATGAGTTTTAACCCTTAAAGAATATCTACATTTCATGTTAAAATATGATTTTTCCTACATTTTTAATGCTATTAACACTTAGATGTTTGCACATGTGTCTTTAATCTCTATGTATCTGATGATTACTAGTCATAGTTACACTCGGATCCTTAGTACTTGAGTATGGATAGAAAGTCATCAGGCAGATTTCACTGGTAATGTTTATCACCTCTACTATTTAACATGAAGTAAATTGTTATGCTTCCTCCTCAAATATGTCTTTTATTATTTGTTGATTTTTCTGTGTGTATATCATACAGAATATCTCACACAGCCTTATTCATCTATATACCCACTTCCCAAATGATACCCTCCCATAGCCTCCCCCCTCCCACATACTGAAGCCTGAATACTCTGTCATCCCTGTTACTGTCCTCTATGTTGTCGACACCTCCAGCCATTCTTCAGTGCTTTGTTTGTCTGCTGGATCTAGTCAGCCTATCTAGAGACCCTTGTATTAGGAAGATCAGCTGTTCCTCATCTAGCAGCAATCAGTTGTCAATATTCCTTTGGGGTCTGCTGTTCATTTTCCCAATTCCATGTTGGGTTACTGTTGGGGAGTCTCTTGTGCCACCTTGGCCAATAACCAAAGGAAGGTATGACCTGTCTGGCATTGTTGATTGTTATGTAGCCTTTAGCTCTACATATGGACTCTTAAGAAACTATATTGGCCTCTTTAATCTTTGGTTATACTTTCCTTTTTGGTGTTTAAGACCCTACAGTGTCCCAGATAAAACAATTTATTTTTACTCTTAAGGTCGATTGAGGATCTGTTCCACAATGGTCCCATGGGCTTGGGAGGATCCTCTGGCTCCTTTCTTTTACCAGTTCCATCTATGTGAAGATAAGTCAAAGGTCCTGCTCAATCATGGCTGGCTTCACTTGGAAGCATGGAGGAAATGTTTCCTCTGTGTTCACCCTCCTCTTTGTAGACTGGACACTGGTTCAGGTCCATCTGGTGGGTACTCCGCAGCATCCTTGATCAAGAGGACCGGTGACTCACCACAGTTACAGGACATTTTGAGAAATGCCCATAGTCCCCTAGAACTTAGTCGACCTAGGAAGGCAAGGAGCAAAAGCTGTCTTTATGTCCCCCGGACCAAATTAGTATAGGCCTCAAAGAATGTCTGTTAAACATCCAAGGATATTTCTACCAGTCTGGTACTTTTAATTACAGTGTGCCACATAGATAAATCTTGGGCAAAGACCAATTGTTCTCAGATAAACCGTGGTTAGACATATACTTCTTGATCTGGTATGTGTAATTTGTCAGTAGGTTGTTGGACTGATATGGTTCCCTCTGGTTTTTAAAACTAGCTAGGCATTATTTATCTCTCACATTGTCTCACCCCACCATCATGGTTTCCCCAATTAAGTTGCCCCCATTTTTCCCTTTTCTCCCTTAATAATACCTTTCTCCTATGGTCCTATCTCTATTGATCTCCTTCTTTCCCTTTAAACCCTAGGTTCCTTGCATACCCTTCCCTCCCCCATCCCTTAAACTAACCCAATTTTTATCGATATCTCCCTTATGAAGGCCTATTTTCTACTGTTCTTCTCTTTCAAGTTCTTTCTTTTACTTTACCTCCCTGTTTCCATTCCATTTTCCTTGTTCCTGTAGTTATGTCTGTTTGCATACTTATTTATCAGAGTCTGATCCTAGGATCCACATATGAGGGAGAACATATGTCGATTTTTTTTCTGAGATTGTGTTAACTCACTTAGTATAACAGTTTCTAGTTCCATCCATTTACCTGCAAATTTCATGATTTCATCTTTCTTTACTGCTGAGTAAAACTCCATCGTATAAATGAACCACATTTTCATTATCCACTCATCAATTGAGGGACACCTAGGTTGCTTCCATCTCTTAGCTATTGTGAAAAGAGCA